CCTCCTCCTTAATCTGTCCTTTTCTCTTTTTTTTTTTTGGTACTGGCAGTCAAACTCAGGACCTTGTGCTTGCATGGCCAGTGCTTATGCAATGAGCTATCTCTCTAGTCCCCTTCTTCCTTTTTTCCCCCATAAAAGAGTGTTCAGTGTTGTCAAATGCTTTTCCTACAACTTTGTTTTGAGTCTTTCATTAATAATATTGCATACTACATTGGTTGAGTTTCCTATGTTAAACAAACTTTGTATTTTTCAAATAAACTTATGGGTTGTTTTGCTAGCATTTTGTCAAGAATTACTATATATGCATTCTTGAGTGATACTGATCCATAGTTATTTGTATTGCTTTTGTCTGATTTGTCAATATAATCCAATGATACTTTTTGATGTGTAATAAATTTAAACCTTCTTTTTCCACACAGAAAATGATCCACAGTCTATTTCTTATAAACTGTTCTGGTGACATATTTCTAGAGAAGCACTGGAAAAGTGTTGTGAGCCAGTCTGTCTGTGATTACTTCTTTGAAGCTCAGGAGAAAGCTGCCGATGTTGAAAATGTACCACCTGTCATTTCGACACCTCACCACTACCTCATCAGTATCTACCGCGATAAGCTCTTCTTTGTGTCTGTCATACAGACTGAAGTGCCACCTCTCTTTGTGATTGAATTCCTACACCGAGTTGCTGATACTTTCCAGGTTGGGTATCCATCAGGCTCATCTGACTCATTCAGAGAGAGACACATAATTATAGTCTTGATCAGTTGTTAATATATTGTTTCTCTCTAAGCATAAATTCATAAACTTCTTTCTATACAGTACACAGTGGCATAGAAGACTACTTTGGTCACTCTTATTTTTTAATGTCTTACAAACTATACCATCAAAAATAGTGTCTTCAGAGTGGGGGTACAGCTAAATTGCATAAGTGCCTACCTGACAAGCATAAGGTCCCAAGTTTGATCCCTGGTACTACAAAACAAAAAAGTGTCTTCCATGTACTGTTCTCTGGAAGGTCGTAAGATTTATTTTGACTATGAACTCTTCTATTTAATTTTTCTTTTGTCTTACTGAAAATAAGACAATTATAGATGTGATTTAACCACTTACCATAATTGAGTTACTTACATACAAAATGACCAAAATTTGCTTTTTTTTTCATTGGTTTTTATAAGAGTGTGACAGGAATTTTTTTTTTTTTTTTTTTTTTTTTTCAGAACTGGGGATTGAATTCAGGCCTTTGCGCTTGCCAGGGAAGCACTTATTCCACTGAGCCATCTCCTCAGACCCTGACAAGAAATTTTTTTTGAAAAGTTTTATCAGAATTTACTGAGGACAAGAATCAGCTGGTTAAAATGACACCTACCTGAGTGACACTTGGAATAATTAGCATATAACAAACATGGTGCCCGAGTGACAGTGAGGTAAAGAGTTAAGTGATTACAACTTACCTCACAGTCCGGTTTAATAGTTCATTACTTTTTAGCATAATATGTAATGGAAATTCAATTCAGTCTAAAAACATTGAAAAAAAGCTGAGCATGGCAGTGCATACCTGTAATCCCAGCATTTGGAAGGCTGACGCAGGAGGCATGCCATGAGTTCAAGGCCAGTTTGATCTACATAGTGCATTCAAGGCCAGCCTGAACTATGTAACAAGACCCTGTCTCAAAAATCAGTAAGAAAATATTGAAGAATAGTGTCTGGAGGGTTTTTATTTCCCTCCTGTTTTACATATTTCTAACGTCTTAAGAAATGAGTTAATACTACCATAAGTTTTTCAAAATGAAAAGTATTTAGTAAACACTTGTTTATGCCTTCTGTTTTGTATATTAATATTACATTAGGACTACTTCGGTGAGTGTTCAGAGGCTGCAATTAAGGACAATGTGGTCATAGTATATGAGCTCTTGGAAGAAATGTTGGACAATGGATTTCCACTGGCTACTGAATCTAACATTTTAAAAGAACTGATTAAACCACCAACAATTTTACGTTCTGTTGTCAACTCTATTACAGGTAAGATGAAAACATACTTTATGCTAAGAACGAAGCAATTAAAATTTTATAAACAGGTTATTTTTGCCTATTAACGTGGTTGCTTGCCCCAGATTAAAATGACTGGTAATGTTTAAATGGATATATGTTTCTTTTCATTAAGAGGCCACATCTTAAATAAAATAAAAAATTTTTGGTTACTATTTTGTTCATAGGTTTACCTGTAAAACCACAATTTAGAGCCCAGCCTTGACAGTTGAGTGACTTAGCAAGAAGCAAGACCCTGTGTCACAAAAGGGGTAGGGAGATAGCTTTGTGCAAGGGCCTTGGGCTTGATTTCTAGTACTACAAAAATAAAATAAAATATATGCTAGTTAATCCTAAAGAAAATAGTGTATCAGTCCACATAAAACACAGTTTAAGCTAGGCATGGTGGCGTATGCCAATAATCTTAGAACACTGTGAGGCCAAGGCAGGAGAAGTTCAAGTCACACCTAAATACTGTCTCAAAAAGGGCTAAAGATATAAGTTAATGTGAAGGCTTTGGGTTTAATTCCTGGAAGGACAAAAAAAAAAAAAAAACCCCAGAGATTTTAGTCTATTTGTAGACTTGCCTTTTAATGTTTACAATAGCATTACAGGGACTTGAACTGTAGCCCAGTGGTAGAAGACCTAGGTTCAGTCCCCAGCACCATAAAAAGATAAGTTAGCATTATATAACTGGCATCGTGTTGGTACCTCACAATGTTTAGTACCACAATAAGAGTATAGAGAGCCAGCAAGATAGCTCAGCGGTCTGAAGTGTCTGCTTAGGCAAACTTAGGCAGGCACAGGGGACCACCGTTTGATCTCCAGCACCATATGCTGTGCCAGCCCTGCCCTCAGGGTGAGCTAAGCCGGCCCCCCCAAAAAAATTTATATAAATATATATATATTTCCCCCACAAAGGTCTCTTCTGAAAGTGTTTTTATATATCCAGATGATATATTAGAACAAGAAGAAATAAGTAGTCTGTGAGATTGCTTGCATTATATGCCTTTTGCTTGTTACATGTTTCCAGTTGGATTTATTTCTTGCATAGAACTAGAAATTCAGTGTATCCAGACAACATTATTTTGAAAGTGTTAAAATCTTCAGAGACATTCCTGTGAAATGTTAGATTCATTTCATAGGAATGAATCTCAGATGACACTGAGACTTTCAGATGGTGGGATCCGCTAATGTAAACTCCCCTCCAGGGCCTTGGCCTAACAGTGGGGTAAAAGAGACAAGAAAAGGACGATTTGCCAGCTCTTTACTCATTTTCTGTCAAGGCAGTTTGAGGAGAAATCTTTTTAAAAAAGAAGATGTAGTTATCTGTGCCATAAAAACTTACACTCTAGGTAAGAGACTGAAGGAAATTAAAATAACCAAAATAACAGTGTAGAATTTTAAAAAAGTAATTCCATACACATCAACAATATGTGACATTGGAAAGTTATATAATATATGAGAAAAAAACCACAAAAGTTCTTCATTCATAGTTACATGTAAATACACAGAAAAAGGCCTAAAATGTTTACAGTGATTGTTGCTAAGGATATATGTGATCTTTATTTTTGCTTTATACTTTTTTTTTTTTTTTTTTGTACTGGGAATCGAACTCAGGACCTTGTGTTTGTTAGGCAGGCACTGTGCACCACCAAGCTGTCCCCAGCCTGGCTTTATACTTTTTAACTTTCCAAAATAAACACGTTCCAGGAAAATGTTGCTAAAATGTATAATGTATAAATAAAACAGATTCATAAGATAATATAAAGTTCAAAAGAATGATTCGCTGGATAATATAATTCTTTCTGAACTTTGGTAGGTGGGCTTCAGATAGGGGCCTAGAGAATCAGTAGACAGTAAAAAGTGGAGGAGGGATGAGTTTTGTTTTGTTTTTTTGTTTGTTTGTTTTAAGATTCCCAAGTGCTGCATTTACAATCATGCACCACCGCGTGTGGCTCTGCAGCTGTATTTTAAAGTATAATCTCAAAAATCATGAAAGTAGAAAACAGTGTCACCTATTTATGTGGAAAATGTTTAAAGAAGCATACCACAACATATGCCGAGGCAGAAGGATTTCTGTTTGTTCAAGGCCAGTCTGGGCTTCATAATACCTTCAAGGCCAGTCTGAGCTGTACAGTGAGACTGTCCCAGAAAAAGAAAAGAAAAAAATGTATAACAAGTAGATTTTGGTAGGAAGATAGATTTATTTTTTCTATTTATTTTTTTATATTTTAGGGAAGGGTCTGTAGGTGTTCAGGGTCTAGATTGGAGTCTTGGTGATTCTCCTGCTTACAGCCTCCCAAGAGCTGGGATTACAGGCACGTGCTACCACTCCCAGTCTCAGTTGTCATATCAGTGTGCCCCAGGGGCGGGGCTGGCACTTCAGGCTCAGGGATCTAAACCCAGGCCCCTGTGCCTGCTTGCAGGTGCTTTAATCCACTGAGCTATTTGGTCAGCCTGATAGATTTATTTTTAGACCCACTTTTCTGAACTTTATATTTTTTCAGTGAAGCATGAATTACAAATGTGAATTAACCAAAATTTTAAGCAACTCACACTTCAAGGATATGTGCTTTAGATAAACATCTCATTTTCAGACATACATCAGTTTACCAGGAAATTAGCCTAATAGGAAAAAGGATAGAGTACAGGATGTTCTTTATCTAGTTGTCACACTGAGGCCTGCATATCCACATCTCAGGTCGAATTCAGCTGAATACCAGATCTCCTTCTTATCGCTGTGCATTCTCAGAAGAGGCATTTTGTGGCACAAAGTTTTTAAACAGTGAGCTTTTTTTTTTTTTTTTTTTTTTTTTTTGTTATCCTTAGTGGCAGCAGGCAAAGATCCTGTGGTTGAACCACTAGAATTAACTTCAGGTACTGCTAACAGGCTGGAAGCAAAAGATAAGTAAAATGCATTTATCCTGATTTAACGGGTACACAGAGGACCACATAGCCTGTTTCTGTCTTCTAGAAAACTGGCCATGTTAGTATGGATATGTCTGTGATAATTCTAGAGAGTATCCATAATTTTGATAAAGGCGGCTCCAAACATTGAACCATCTAAATGATTCTTTTTTTTAATATTTATTTATTTATTTGATACAGGTTCTCATTATAGTTTGGACTCATGGTCCTCCTGTCTCAGCCTCCCCAGTGGTGGAATTAGAGGCATGCACCACCACACCCAGTTTTGGGGCTGGCATGGTGTGGCCAGGATTCTGGGTCGGCACAGCATGCGGTACCGGGGATGGAACTCCGGACCTTGCATTTGCCAGGCCAGCATTTAGACCACTGAGCTACCTCCTCAGCCCTCTTTCTATTGACAACAGCATTTTTGATGAGTTTTTCACATCAGCCTTGCTTTTGTCTCTCCCAATTCTAGGCAGTAGTAATGTAGGGGACACACTCCCCACTGGGCAGCTATCCAACATCCCATGGCGCCGGGCAGGAGTGAAGTATACCAACAATGAAGCCTATTTTGATGTTGTTGAAGAAATAGATGCAATTATAGATAAATCAGGTAACTATGTGCATGCAGTCTTATGGGGGCAGGAGGAGGGGGACACTTTAGCTGAAGTAAGCTAAATAGAAAATTGAATCCCCTGGCAGTGTGATTTCAACAGCAAGGCATTCATTTTCTAATGATTTCTAAATCTTCATTTTACTTGGGGGTGCAATATGGTTATTACCACCAATATTGAGATCTGCCACACGTTTGTTTATCTGGTCTCCTGTTGTCTTTATGCCAGTTCTTTCCCTTTGTACTTCTCCCTCTTGCTGCTTTATTTATTGTAACATTGCATGTCAACCATATGACCATACTTTTGTTACTGATTTATCTGTTAGTAGATTGCTTTCTGATTTTTCTTTTTTTGCTCCGAATGCCTTCAGGGCAGGTTTGGCTGGCTTGTGTTGTAGGGATCGAACTACAACAACCTGAGCCTTACTGCTTCATTGAAGCAGCCACTTAAAGAACTGAGCTAAGGATCAGCCCCCCCCCCCATTTTTCTTTTAATCAAACAAAATAATGATACTCTATAAGAGCCCTAAGGCAGTAGGGCTGTAGCTTAGTGACAGAGTACTTGCCTAACACCTGCAACGCCCTGGGTTCAATCCCTAGTACTGCAAATCTCATATTTCATACAGGAGGAAGGTGATGCTGACAAGGATTTA